TGTGTGTGTGTGTGTGTGTGTGTGTGTGTGTGTGTGTGTGTGTGTGTATTTTAATTCAACAAATGAAAAATGCCTCATGTTAAATGGACTCACCTTCGCACAGTGAAGATCTTTGTGTTTTTTCAGCAGTTTGTCGGCTTGTTGAATTGCCATCTTATTATTGCCATTATCAAGATAATCTGTGAAAACGGAAAGAGAACAACAGAGTCAGAGACAGGAGAGCTGCCCCAGGTGGGCAGGGGCTCCTCGTCCAGATACGCCTTGGACTTGATAACCTCGGAAGCCCCCGCCAGCCCTAACAGTCTGTTTTAGGAGATCTAACAGGTCATATGCTACTGATTTTCAAAAACAGAGAAAGAAACGTGATTTTCTGGCCCAGAGAATGAAAATAAACATTTCCAAATAAGAAGCAGATACTACCCATCCCCCCATCTAACCACGGACGTGCGACTGGGCACAGGACGCAGGGTCCTCACCATAACCTGGGCTCAGCACCAAAGTCCCTCCTGAATCAGCCCAGAATGAAAGGAAGAGTCCAGCAACTCTAGAATGTCCATCCTATGATGGGGGGAGCTCAGTCATACAGAGCACTGGGATCTGGAGGCAACCTTCCAATCCCATGTCAGACAAAACCGTTTTATCAGGACATCGCCACAGAAAGGAAGGGTAGCCTAGTGGGAAGAGCCAGGCTCTGGAGTCAGAGGCCCCAGGTCAAATCCTGCCTGCATGACTGCACTCAAGTCCCTTCACCAGCCTGGGCCTCAGTTTCCCCATCTGTAAGATGTGGCTTCTGAGGTTTCTTCAGCTCCACATCTGAGTCTATGCTCCTGTGCAGCCAAATGTCTGGGTCTGAGCTCCATCTCCTCCCCCAGCGGCTCCCCTTCTTTTCTGGGAGCAGGGCTGGTAAAATGTCTATGAGGCAGAAAGCAGAAGGTCAAAGGGACAAGAGAACCAGGAGGCCAACCAGAGAACCCAAAGGCGTGGTCTTAGTAATACTGCGTCCAACCAATGGTGGATGTGTTTGTAGACGGAGGGGTCTAGGGCAATAATAACACAGGACCAGCGCACTGACACGAGGAATTACAGAAAGTTAGACTTAGGGGCAGCTAGGTGGTGCAGTGGATAGAGCTCTGGCCTTGGAGTCAGGAGGACCTGAGTTCAAATCTGGCTTCAGACACCTGACACTTACTAGCTGTGTGACCCTGGGCAAGTCACTTAATTCCAATTGCCTCACCAAAAAGGGGGAAAAAATTAGCCTTAAGGAGCCCCGACTTACTAATCAATGGAAATTTTGCAAGGAAACTGTAAAAAATGTGTGCAGCATAATCTGCTGGTTGAAAAAAAAAATAGTACTTACTCAATACCTGGAAAGACACAATCAAGCAGACAGAATTATAACTAAAGCTCACACACGCTACAACCATAACACTTGCCACTTCAATAAAGAGACTGCATCACAACTGGAGAGCCCGCACACAAAATGACCAGTCCAAACCTCCTCGACAGACTAACATGTAAAAATTTAGGGACAAAGCTCGTGATAAATGTCACCATAGTGAACATGCAAAGTCTTCTAACTCTGAGGGGAATGAAAAGCTCTCCAAATGACACTCAGTCAAACAAATAAAAACCACATGGCAATAACATGAAGTACAGACACGGTCCTAACTGTTGCTGCAATCATCCCTCTGAGGATGGATTTAAATTCCACATTTTTACTCAACTATAAAAAGCAATCACTTCACCCTCTGCCAGAGTCTACCGAACACTGAACATCTCTGAACAGTGGGGTGGCAACTTCTGCCTGGACCATTTCGATCTGAACTCTACTAAGTAGACGGTGAGAAGAACGGGAACGCTAATGGCAAAGGGGCAGCCTGGCGCCAGGGGGAAAGGCCACTCTTGGCTTCTCCAGGCCTGCCCCTGACAGCTCACTGGCTGGGTAACTGTGCTTGTCCCACTGCCCCCAGGCAGCCCTAAGCTTCAGCTGAGGCACACACTTCAGGGCTGAATCAGAAGTCCCCGTGAACCTATGAAATCAAAGGCCAGAGCAAAAGTCAAAAACCACAGCTCATGGGAGATGGAAGGTGAAAGCTTCCAAAGCCCCTTCTCACAACAGGAAGACAGTACCACCAGTGACCTTATTCCACCATGAACGGTAAGGACACTGAGGTTCTGACAAGTCCGATGACCTGCATCTCTGGTGTTAGAGGTGAGATCTCAACCCAGCTCTCCTGATTCCCAAAGTCTGGTGGTCTTCCCACTCCGCCATCATGTACAGATCTGCCCCTGCAAATAAACAACCTGGCAAATATCTAAGATCCAGAGTTTAAAGCCAGCCTCCAGGGCGGCCATTTGCCCACCAGCATGGGACCATCAAACCAGCTGGATGAACAGCATCCTGGATCCCCCAAGCCTAGAGGTTCATGTAACCCAGGTCTACTCCAGACCAGCCCATGACAAGCATATTTCGTTTCTCTGGACCTCAGTTTCCTCATTAGTTCAATGAGGCGAAGGACAGGAGGCTCCCTGGTCCCCTTTTAGCTCAGAGAGGCGACGATCCTAGGGCAGCGACACCATCACCTCCCCAAAGGTTCTTCTGGTGACTCTGAAGAGGGTAACCCTCTCCCTTCCAGCCAGGGACCAACTGGCCAAGCAAACTTTGAGCAAACCCATGAAATGTCTGCAAGTCCGTTTTCCCATCCTGACAAGTGTCCACGATGTGAACGTCTGCTGGTTGAGCGAGGCTTCCTGTGCCTGGTCCATTCAGGATCAGATACCCTCGGCCCTAAAGATGCCCCAAAGTGATGGAGAAGAGCAGAGTCACACGTGGTCGTCCCCCTGGGTTTCCTTCTCTCAGTATTAGACTCCCAGGGCTCAGGTGCCTGGATAAGTGCCAACTGGTCAACAGTCAAAAACACACATGGCAGCATACACACGCACACACACACACACACACACACACACGAACTTTAATGCTTCACCATACAAGCGGCATAACCTCGTGATAGAACAAGCTAGTAAAAGACGTTTCTACGCCAGTCATTCATTTAAACTCACCTACAAGGCTGGCCTCCACAATTCCTTTCCCGGTTGCCACGTGCCTTTCTGTACGTGCTCTGGGCCAAATCAAAGGCACATTAGTAGCACTGTTCAACGCTTAACCCGTCGCTATCTGCCCTGCTATCAAGTCCACAACAAGTTTCCAGAAAAGCTTTCCTGGCCAAATTTATGACTCACCCTTTGCATCCTTAGCTGGCGAGATGGAATTGGATTCTGAATGAGGAAGAGCAATAAATCTCAAAGTTACCCTCCTAACTTTGCTGCGCGTGAGAGGGATGAATGACCAGGAGCCCCTTAGGCTACACAGCATCGAGCCAAGGCAGAGGTGAAGGAACACCACCAGCACATTACTGCTCATGGCTTGAAGCCCCCAGAGGTAGGGGAGAGATACCGGCAGATGGTCAGATCGGTGAGAGGCAAGCGTGTGACAGACCTCCAGTCAGGAGGTGGAGACCGCAGGCCTGGCAGAGTCGAGTCCTGGACTTGGAACCATGAAGACCTGGGTGCGAGTCCTCCCTAGGCTGCTGGGCATGGCCCTTCCCCTCCCTACAGCCCTGGAGCAAGGAGGATGTCAGCCCCAATCCATCTTCTGACAGCTACTGGATATGTGGCCCTGAGCTCTCTGAGCCTGTTTCCCTAGCTGCAGAACTTCCACACAGGATGTTGCGGGACCCCAAGGAGACCACATGTGTAAAGGGCGTGCCCAACCTTACAGCAGGCGCTCTCAACATGAGGTTCGAGAAGCTTGCCAAACGGCCAAGGGGAATGGTTGATAAATGGCGCCAACATCCCATGACAAATTCCAAAAGCGGTAGCCTGAGTGAAAACGTGTGTAGACTGGAGGTGAAGTGGGAGAGAGGCATGAGGGCACACCTCAAAAATCTTAAAAAGAGACCGCTGGAGGGAGAATTCCTACCAACTAAAGCCAAACAAATGAGGTTTGGATACCAAACCCTTTCAAACCGAGCTAGAAAAAAATCAGCAATGGTGAGACATCAAAAGAGGAGCTCAGAGATCTCTGAACTAACCAAAGACCCAGAAGTGCTTTCCAATCCATGAAGTTTGGGAACTTCTGGTGTCCCTTGGAAAACCCCACCTCATTCCTATAAATCTTCTGCTCCCAGAGTCTATCCCATCTCGTCTCTGGGAGTCGGGATTCTCAGCTCTGCTCTCAACCCAAGCCAAAGCTGGAACCCACTCGGAGCACCAAGGCGCCAGAGAGGTAGCAATGGGGCAGACAAGAAGCAGAAGCCAGGGCCTCACTGACTTCCGTGACAAAGGTGCTATCTCTTCAGGAACCCGAACGTTTTTGGTTTTTATGTGCATATGCCCTGCAAACTGTTTCCCTTTCCAAGTGAACAGAGGGTTTGGAAAGCTTTCCTGAGGAGCAAAAAAGCCTCACCCTCAGGTCTCTGGAAATGGCAGCTCAGGTTACAGCATGGGGAAGGGGATCTGAAAGCGCTGCCCGAAGAGCCCCGAGCCGGCCGCAAGCCAAAGTGAAACGCTTCCTCCGGGGCTGTCTCTGGTATCTCTGCGACCCTGGTGCTCAGAGGCAGCACCTCCACTCGCAGCAGGCAGGCAGAGGTACACCAGCATGATGCAGAGCTGTAACTAGGGTGAGGCCACTGGGACCTGGCCCAGGGAAGGGAAATTCAGAGAATGCCCACAGCGTCTTCCTGGAGCAGGCTTCGTCCACTGCCCAGCTCCATTCAACATGAAAGCCTCCTTCCCCCTTCAGCAGCCTAGAAGTCTCAATGTGTCTTCTGAGACGAGTGTCGGCCCCACTGGAGCTACTCTCCCGCCACACATCCCTGCCCAGCTCTGCCAGCAGTGGCTGGTCACTGGCCCCACCCCTGGGACGGCCAGTCCATAAGCCTACAAGCCTCAAGCTCCCCCTAGTCCCTGGGTGGCATGACAGCCTCATGGTACTCTAGTGCCTAGGCCAGGTAAGCCCCAACCCTAGGACTACTAATTATCAGTCTGGCTCCGGGACATCCTGGTCACTCCCAATGCCGTGGGCCTTTCTAACTCCCGTAAGAAGGATGGAGATCACCTAAGAGGTCTTGCCAGGCTACCCACAAGAAATCATCATCTGGCTTCATTTACCCCATTTCTC